ATAATTGACTTTTTCATTTATTAGGAGAAATAAATCAAAATTATCCTATAATAGGAATAGAAAACATTGATTTAACAAAAGAATAGATGAAAGATATTTATGTCTTTTGATTAATGCCACATCACTTTGTCAAGAGACTTTGTCAACTGACTTTGTACATGTAGCGCGGTCGCAATCCAATAGACATCTTTGACGTCAGCCAACTGATGTAGGATCTCCCCAGTCACGTGCATATACATAATTTATTGATATAACAAATTTCAAGGGACATTGAATTGGTAAAACTAAATCCCTGTTTGACAACTATTTTTACAAAATATATATATTTTTTCTCAAATTCATTTTCAGCCATATATTTTCACAATAAAATATTCTGTACGTAAACTCAAAAATTTCTCATACTTTTTTAACCACACATTATCCAAAAAAACACTATTTCAAAATTCATTTTTTAAAAAAATATATTTTTATTGGTTGTCAAACAGGGACTAAAATGTGATCAAGAAAGATAGACATGTACTAAAATATTATTATGTTTTGTTTAATTTACTTGACATACAAAACATGTCTTTGAAATTCGTACCTTGAACTTCGATTGCAAAATCTAATGAACATAAAAAGAGACTACTTTATCTATAATGAAAATATAAATAGGTAAATTTACAAAGTTAGAAAGCAAATGTGTCGCTATATTTGATATTTCTTTAGCTAAGTCGAATATAGTGTTAGATATGTTGAGATGTATTTATTATTCACTTTCTTAATTTTTTGAGAAAATTTAAAATAAAAGAATTCATTAAATATCAATATCTATTTCAAAACTTTTTTTATTTTTGGAAATTATTTTGAAAAAATTGATACATTAGTAAAAGTTTTGAGTTAAAAAAAAATAAAAAAAAATATAAGGGCTGGCCTGTCGAAGTCAAGTAGTGCGATGTGGTGGGGTTGCCATTTAGCCATAAAACGCGTGATGGGAATTCACTTTAGCAGATATTCTTCTCGAAAAGTTTATCCAGAAGTCATATGTAGAATTAAAAGCAGCTTTAAAGGTCAAATTGTACATGCACAGCAGCAATTTTCTTGCGTCGTCCCAAGTAATAATTAGGATTTAGGACCACTAAACAAACGGACAATATGGAATTCCTCATCGCTATGCGATTATTAATGTTGAAAAAATTAATTTTCATTTTCATTTTCAACTTTGATCATTGATCGGTTGTGATTTGATCATTGAAATATATATTTGAGAAGTATTTACGAACCATTTAGGTAATAAATAGATAAAAATTAAGCGGTGGATAATTAAGTGGTATTTGTGCGAGTCACTTGAAATGTATAAGTAAAAATGATTTGAATATTTATAAACATGAGCTAAATGTATGTTCAGATAAAAAGGACACGTTAAAAAGATTATGAGAATCACGCGACTCTCTCTTATTAGAGTTGAACCCGATGCGGACACAAGAAAGTATGAACCCCCTTTTTTTATTTTTTATTTTTTTGCAAAATGCATTTTGAAATAGTGATTTGATGGAGAACGTGTGATTAAAAAATAAGAAAAATTTTGAGTTTGCGTATAATATTATTTTATTGAAAAACATGTGGCGGTAAAACAAAGGCTAAATGCATAATATTTTGATGAAAATGATTGTTTCAGAATAATTAATCTAATTCATATGGGTTTCACATCTTTTTGAGTGGAGATTATAAATCAAAATAAGTGAATTTAACCCTTATGAAAAGAAAACGAATCCTTGAACCTTTTTCATGTCCTTTTCTAGCAGATATTGGGGCAGATGCCCCTTTCTTCTATCTATTTTGAGAATGGAGAAGTTGTTGACTTAATGACAAAGGAATACCCGCGACCGAAGCCCGGGTGAATGGCATCGAACGTGTGAATATAATGGTGGGAATTTTCATTTTTACCGAACTTAGAGGAAACAAAAAGAAAATGAGAAAAACGCCAATTTAAGGTATTTCGACAAACTGTCAACAACAACTAGAAAAGAAGGCTTTACCAATTGGGAAAATCTTGTAATACAATATTTTTCTCAATCTCACAACTTGTCCTTACCCAAAATTAGAATGCTCAACATACGTCGCAAACTCGTGAATACTATTTTTCTCTAGTTTCCTTTTCTAGATTCCTAGCAATTTTGGATACATGTAAATTCCTTGACCGTATTCAAGTCAGCGTGACGGTGTCCAGCACAATTCTTAAGATATTAAAATATTATTTTTCTTCTACCATAAGAGGCTTCTTTCCTTAATTTTTTTTTTTCCTTTCTTTTTTTTTTTTGTCAAACGAGAATTCTATTTTGTTTTCTATGGTAGAATTTCTTTCTTTAACAAATTTGGGGCAAGCAAAACAATTTTCACCATGACCCAAATCCTCCAATCACGGCATGCGTCGACTTCCATCTTCGCACTCCTTTTACCGGTATGTGCCACCATTACCCAATTAATTATACTAGACAACCAAATTCAAAGTTCATCAAACCAGACTTTGCAATTTAACTTCTTAGTAGCCATAAAATCTGTCTTAGCCACTTCAAAATTCAACAACGAAAGAAGACCTTTTTCTACGTGACTTAGATACCACAATTTCACATCTGTGTGACTCGCTTAACACAACCCCCACCTCAATGTCACTCAGTCAGTGTAACTCCATCACCACAATTCTACCTTTGTGTGACTCGATCACCACCACATTTTTACCTTGATGCTAGTCCGTCACCATAACTCCATCTCAAATTTTGAACTTGCCATCACCTTCAATATAATCACATAGTTTGAATCATGGGCTTTGATACCACTTGTTCATAATTGAGACTAATTCCTATATTTTCTCCCAAGATCTTTGTTCAAAGGATGTATATAGAAGCTAGAAAAACATAATAAGAAGAAGAGTAATGATCGAAGATTTTTCAGAAAAAACTCCCATATTGGGAAAAAAAATCCACGAGTTGTCAAAGATAGATATCTTCCACCATATGACTTTGGGTTTCATTTCATTTCATTTATTATTATTATTATTTCTCTAAAAAGTTAATTTTCAAAGTCTAACGCTAATGCTAACTCCAATTTTGTAGAACCCACAAATTATCCACCACTCATTTCTATTAATTTATAGTTTTAACAAAACGAAAGGAAACCC